TTTTGAAGCAATGGATGAAATATCGGGGAAAGCCTTATAATCTGATGACTCCTATTATGGAAAATACGGCCAAAAATGAGTTCCAAAATGCTAATAGAGTTCTCAGATTATAAGGCTTTCCCCGATATTTCATCCATTGCTTCAAAAGTGGTATTAATATAATATAACCGATAGCTATATACACAGAATAATGCCATATCTGTTGCATAAACTCCCGAATATCATTAAAGTCTACAAAAGATATTAACTTATTTTCCAATTCAGTCACACCAGGAATATAAGGATATCCAGCAAATTGTGTCCAATTTTGTGACCATTTATCTTGAGTTCGTTCAATAATATGGTATTTATTATAACGGATATCATTGTTCAGAGGATAACACGCCATTATATTATTAACTGTTTGTTCAAACATATTTATTATTAGTAGTAAAATCAATTTAAAATATTTAAGTTGTTGTACAAATAAGGTTAAATCAAAATTAATTACAATTATGTGTTGACATTAAAGTGTGATATAGAAATAATTTATAAGTTATAAATTATAACAGATATTGATGTGTATTTGAAAGGCAAGGACACAAAATGCATGTTAGTATTGATTGGTTTTAAACTTTAAATTAATTGCTTATCTGTTTTGAAATAAAAATCTCAGCCAATAGGCTTTAATATACTTTATATTTTAATATATTCATATTTTCTCAAGGCATAGTAATTTTAGAAAAATAATTTATTTTTAATTTCATTTACAAACATTCCAACTGTATAGCTTCGGCAGGATGCAAGTAATCCGGGTCCACCTTTTGAGATATCATTTTTTATGTAGAATTTATGCTGAATCCAAATATGAAATCAAAAAAATTTTTCGGTGAACCGTTTTCGAGTTATCGATTTTTAAAGTCGAATATATACTATTGATATTTTGGCTAAACTTTCCTTTATGTAACCTAACCTAACCTAACCAGGTAGCTTAGCAGGATCCTGACAGTCTTCTTTATTAGCATCAAACATCACTATTTTGTGGATTTTAACAATTTTGTGCATCTACAGTATGCTGTATACCAGAGATCACTATAAATATAGTGACAACATTGCATTTTAAAGCATTTGATTCAACACTAGTTATTATATTAATCTCTATCACTTCAAGTTAAAAGTCATAATTTGAAAATTAATAATACATTTCTTTGCATACATACAAATATTTTTACTCATAACTTGATTATTATATATTTTGCTTATTATTACTACTTATGATTAACAAATATTCATAAATATAATATCAACATATTAGTTTTTAAATCAAATATTATATTGATTAGTAAGGTGATATTATAAATAAAATAACTAGTGTTGAATCAAATGTTTGAAAATTGTTATAACTTATAAGGCTAGTTGTCACTTAGGTGACAATATGAAAACCAGTGTTGTATACAGTCCTAGGTTATGAAATACAAATTTTTGTATAAGCTATCATCAAATAAATGCATGCTAGGTGATATAAAGTTCATATAGTATTTCGAATAATGTAATTATTAAATGGATTGATTCATATGAATATTAATGTATTTTTAAATATAGAATGAATACATTTTTAACACAAACTTTAGGGTTAAAACATTTACATTTGGACAAGTGTATTGAATGTGAGTTGGCTGGATAGTTGCTGGATTAGTTGCCAAATATTTGCCCTTATCTTAATTGCAATGCTATGTATATTGGGTAATTTATATAGATATTTTTATCAAATAATAATTTTATATTGCATTTTTAGGGAGTCTTATGAATAGAAATATATAGGTACTATATTTTAATTACTTTAATATTTTAAGTTAACTTTCATTTTAAGACATGTGACCGTTGAATGGCATCTGTTAAAAATAATAAAATTTAATTATATAGAAAATATTTAAATTTAATTGTATAGAAAATATTTAAATTTAATTATATAGAAAATATTTAAATTTATTGAATATGTTTGCAACCGTTTTTTAATATTTCTACTTAAATTACTCAATAAATAAAATAATTGCATATATAGTACTTAATTCTTAGATTAATTATAAATTTATTGAAAACAAGGTTTGACATTCAATTTTTATGCCTAACCGCGATTAGAATTTATAAACTATAAATAATTTAATTGCAATTATTAAAACTATTTTGTATATTTCCAGTATTATTAGTAATAATATGTTTTACTCACGTAATCAAGGTTAAAACGCTCACATGAGAGGTAGCTTGCAAAATATTTATGCAAAATAAGTTAATAATTATTTAATTTATTCTAAAGTAAACGTAATTTAATGAAGATTTCATAAATGTATTTTGAATGTTGTTTAAATTCATTTCCAATTATATATTTTATTATTGTGGGTATCAATTATAGTAAAAGTATTTGGAAAGCTGAGTATTTGTGCAATTTGTTGTATACCGAGGCATGTTGTTGTAAACAAAGGATGGCATAAATTTTGTCAACATTAGTTAACACTTTAAGCACAGATTAGCACTCGTTGCTGTACACTATACCTATAATTTATAGCCTATAAATCAGTATTGTATTTATACTGAGAGATAACTTACTCTGGACCTTCAATTATAAAAGACCTGGGAATTCTAAAATAAGTCAAGTTCTTACACAAATACATTACTATGGATTGTAACTAATAAAAGTCTATTACAAACTCTATTTTCAAATTGTACCTATAATTTATTTATGGTAATGCATTTTTATTAGGACTTGACTCTGCATAATATTTTATATTTATAGTTAAAAATAATTTTAAAAATTTTAAAAATAAAATATTTATTTACCAATTTGATAATGTCAATTTTTAAATATATATAGATAAGGCCCTAATATTCGTCAATTATACATTTAAAAACCGAGTGCTAAGGAAAATAATATTGCAATTTAGCCCGGTGATTAAACTTTCGAATAAATTTGTGGAGGATTTAAATGACGGTGAAATGATGGTCAAATATGGTTTATTTGAGTTCATACTTGAAAAATGAACATTTGATTTCTAGAGTGTGTCAACCCTCAGTACACATAAATTACAATAAACTATTTTTAAATTGTTTGCTTATTTATAAAATTCTAATTACAAAGTTGGTAAAATAAGTTTGAAAATAAATATTATATCCAAGTTTATTAAGAAAATTATAAATAATTTAATTCAATCCTTGTGGATTTCATTATATTTTTTACCACAAACCTTCTGGCGAACTGTCCCCTATTAGATGATGTTTGGCAACACTAGTTATATTAATGAACTTTGTCCGCAATACAATTAATATTTGATTTTACAATATTATTTCAATAAAAATTATACATGAGTATTTTTGAAAAATAACGCTACTATACAATATATTAAAAATTTTATCGTTTTCTTTTATTGTTTTAAAAAAATCAAATAATTTTTTAAAGTCAGTTTCTATAAATAAATGTCTAAACAAGAACATTTATTTTTATGCTAATAAATATCATATTTATAAAAACATAATTCAAACACGTTATTATAAATTATGTTTATACGAATGATTGCTAGTAAAATAAATAAATGTTAATTAAAAAAATTTTAGACTTAAAATTTTAATTCTTAAGTAATTACTTTAAAGGTTATAAACAATATGAAGTATTATTGAAAGGATTAATTAGATTATTATACAGTTTGCAGTGTAAAATAAATGTGTCTGTTCAGAATGGTCTCCACCATTTATTTTCTACCAAATAAATCTTGGTTTTGTATTATCAAGTATATTTTTAGTACTATAACGATTCCCACTTACAGTAGTATTAATTTTAACGATTAGCGAGATAAAAACTATTATCTTTAACATTATAGTGTTTACAATTAATCGCATTAGTATACTATAAAACATGTCCTTGTCGATACCATAATGATAAAATACAGTAGATATTTGCCCTGGCTGACACCGGTTGAACCCGTACATCATAATTAACAATAGTTCAAATCCATTTTTCAAAAAACTGTACTCGCTAAGCTCACGTAACACATAATGTAGCTCATTCGCCATAATAAACGTGTTGCTTAACGTGATATACACGACCACAATGGCCATGCAATATAGGAACGAGAGAATTTTATCGTGCGAAAATATTATGGCGGTAAGTTGGGCGTAACTTTGACAACATAATAATAGTAATAAGCTGGTGAAATATATTGTAGCATACGAGCGTATCGTATGTGCCATGTCCACTATTCCGCAATAGACGATTAACGTTATGATTATGGGCAAAAAGTCCGTGATAGTTTTTGTGCATAAAAATGTCCCAGTACTGTACCATCCTACGATAAAATGTAAAACATTGTGACATACCCCGGTCATATTGTTACATATAAAAAACATACCATTATAGTGTTCGTTGCAAAATATTTCCACCTCGGCGCAAAATGAAATAGAAAATACAAACATGATCATCACGGGAACAACCACCATCAGGGTCATAAAAAATTTAATATTATCTTTTAGTAAATTTTCGTTAATTATATCGGTGTCACCCTGGTCGCACCCGGAACCAAACTCAATTGTCATGCAGCCATCGGGCACAATAATCTCGGTGCCCAAAATGATCCTGAGCATCATGCCTGTATAGATTAACATGATAATTTGCAAGGCCAACGTTTTCCATTGGCTTATGTATGCGTATCTCATGGACCGCATCAGTAGGCAATACACGTCACGAAAACTGAACCGTTTTGTGGGGTTTTGTTTGCCGTAAACTAATCGCATGTTTCCCTCAATGAGCTTATCGTCCGATTCATTGCTATTTTGTTTTGACATAAGTTTTTCAAAATCAGTCATTCGTTTGTCACCGGATGCTATCGTAAGCACCACTTCAATGGGGACGTCGTTTTGGGTCAACACAATGTCATTGTCGTGGAGGTGGTGTCGAAGTGGTAGAGGGGGTCCAGCGTACAGACATACCCCTCGTTTGGCCAACACATAGATGTTGTCAAACATGTTAAACAAATCGTTGTTTGGCTGATGAATGGACGCAATGATTGTCATCCTATGTCTTCGGGACAACACTTTTAAACAGTTAATCACCTGAAAGGCGGACAACAAATAGGGTTAACACATGAATAGCAATAAATACCTAATTAGAGAGATGTCTGACCACTAGGGCGGCGCTACTGTCCAAACCAGAGGTCGGTTCGTCAATACATAACATATTAGGCTTTATATGAGCCGTGAGTTCGCAGGCGATGACAATCCTCTTGTGTTCGCCGCCACTACACGTCTCGACCCTATTGTCCGCCGTATCGCTGATCATCAGCGAAGACATCAACTCCGAGGCTATCATCTGGTGATCCAAATGAGCGCTAATTCGCGAGTTCTTCAGTCGCGAGGCGTAGACCAGAGCCTGTCTGACAGTCAGACCCCGTAATAGGTGTTGGCAGACATCCTGTTGTATAAAACATGTCTTAAATCCTCCACTTTTCACATAAATCCTCGTCTCGTCGCTCAATCCACTCATACTCTGTCCGTTCAAACACTTCAATAAGGTAGTCTTTCCCGCACCGGACGGTCCCATCAGAGCGTTGAGTGAATTATCATAAAATTTGCCGCAAATTCTATTTAAAATCACCTTGCTGCTACTAGTTTTACGAAATAATTTACTCGACACGCTATATGTTAACTGATGCCAGCATATTGATATATTTGATTGACCTTGGCTACTACCATTCATCTCGACGTCCGGAAATTTTATATGCTCTTGCAACATTTCTACCTTTGTCATATTATGTGATTGAAGACTACTTTTACCCCGACACTTATGAATCAGGTGAAAAATAAATTTTTTGGCAACGTTATTTGTTTTCGCATAAAACACTATAAATTCAATGGCTACTAGGGCGGCGTATACGTAAGCAAATCTGGTTGCATACGCGTAATATAATTGATCTGGCTCATTATCTAGACCAAACTCAATTAGTACCCGGGATGAGTCGCCACTGTCGCTCACTAAGCACCGGTCGAAGCCGTATATAATGATCGTAAATGAATTAAACTGGTATTTGTAATGATTATAGTCAGTGAGTGTTTGCACAATTTGTGGCATGGTGTTTAGTTTAAAGAAAAAATTATTAAATAAAGTGGCCGAGAACAGTGCTATTAATCCCATGATGGACGATGCACCCGGTGATTTAGCAAGTAGCAGTGCGATAATTTCAGTGGTAGTTTGGTGACATAAAGCTGTTACTACCATGACGTGTAGTAGCTTGACCACCAGGTGCCATTCGGTTAAGTATAGGCCGTGAAAATTAATTATTATAGTCATTATGAATGCGGTTATTAGAGTAATTGTGCTTGATACGCATAATCGCGGGATAAAATATGCCAGCGGATTGTACCATGCTTTAGAAATGAATATAATAATTCAAAAATTTTAAATAAGTTCATGAATTTGTGCCATGATGAGTTATATACTGTATTAGCCTAATCTCAAATAATTTAATATATTATTCAATAATGAACATTAAATAAAATATTTAGATAAAAATATCAATTTTGATTACATAATAAATACAGTATATTTTTCAATATAAAATAATACTTTTGCTACAATTATATTAAAATTAAAAAATTATGCAATATTCTACATTGATCAACGCAAAACTTACCATTTTTATATTCTGACCAAAAATTTATAAAATCTCTAGACAAGGTGTTGCATATAAATATGACACTGATAATATTGCAAATAACTGGCACGTAAAACAGGAAAAATTGCAATTGTATGATTATAGCTTTCTCCTTTTCAATATCGAGACAAGTCAATTCACTGGAGTGCTCGGTAGCATTTCGATAAAAGCACCCTGACACTTTATGCGAGTTCTCATTGATACACTTGACGAGTATGTAATTAATAGCCGTTATTATAGCGATTTGTTTGACAAATGCTTTCCATTGCGAGACATATGTGTAGTGAAAAAATCTGATGAATAAGTAAAACATATCAACGAAATAGAAATTCTTGTTATTAGTAGTGATTCCGGTATTCATTGCAATCATATTCTCTGTATTTACTGTCAATTCCTTATTCTTAGCGCACAATCGCTTCACATCCCTGTCCTCTCGTCCATTGAAACTCAATTTAATTAACACTTCAATCGGCACTTCGTTTTCGCCGACAGTTATGTCGCAATCAATGAGATGTTGCCTCAATTGATGGGGAACTCCATCGTAGAGACAATGGCCTCCTTTGGCCAACACATAGATGGTGTCAATCATGTGAAACAAATCGTTGTTCGGCTGATGGATACTAACGATGACTGATATGTCGTGATTACGGGACAGTTGTTTCAGACATTGGATGACCTGTTCATAGAAGTTGAGTAAAAGTAATGCAATTAAAAAATATAATTATAACTACTTTTGCGACAAAACACTCACAACTTGTGCCGCATGTGTGTCGAGACCAGTGGTGGGCTCATCGATGAACAGTAGGTATGGTTTGGAAATGGATGTCAACTCGAGTGCAATGCAAA